AGACAAAAGACAAAAGGGATAGACAGACAGACAGACAGACATCTGTGGGGTGCATCTTTTAGGGTGCCCAAGAAGCAGGACATTGTTGTAGCTTCACTGCAAGGTCTCTACAAAGGCATCAAACTCTTTGACGTTTTTCTCATGGACTGCCAGCTTCTCTGGTAATGAGTCCTGTAAAGACAAAGAAAAGTCCAGGGTGAGACTCGCTCACAGCAGATCAACTGTCTACTCAATAAGAAGTTAAAACACAATGGAGGCAGAAAGGGCAAAAGATACCTCTCCTAGAATATGAAGCAGATTTCATCTCTGTGTTCTCTCATGCACAACTCCCAGCAGAAGCAGGCTACTGCTGACAGGAGACAGCAAGGGCTTTTAGTAGGTAGCAGCAGATAGCCCATGTCCACGTCCTGTGCATTACCTTAGGGCAGCTATGGTCGTTCTCATGTTAGCATTTAACTTTATGTCCCATCCCATCCCCACGTCATGATCAAATCATATCACTTGACACAAGAGCTGTGGGCCTCAAGCTCATCCAGGCAGCATTTTCATGGATCACTCTGGAAGTCTTGCCCAAATGAGGCCTGTAGACATGGACCCATACAGCTGTTAAACCTGAGGTGGTAGAAGCAGTATTCAGTTTTTGGATTTGAGACTGGCTGAGCTTTAACTTGCTTCCCAGCCCAGATAACCTGCATTTGTGGTCAGCTGGGACAAAACGCACCTTTCAAAGCTGCCAAGGAGACTCAGTTGTTTCATGGAAGGATACAATCAACAGGAAACCTATTATAGCAAGGAATCCCTTTGGTAAGTGCCTGTCCATTTAGACAAGATACTGGCTTGTTCAAGGAGTGAGAAGAAAAGTAATACAGGAACCGTTAACCATAAGAAGGAGGGAGGAACCAGGAAACTATAGGCCAGTTAGTCTCACCTCCATCCTTTGGAAAACTCTGGAAAAAATCATTAAGGATCATATTTGTGGCAGCCCAGCAGGAGAAATAATGCTGAAAGGAAATCAGCACAGATTCACTGCAGGTAGATCCTGCCTGACTAACCATGTTTCTTTTTAGTGGCCAGGTCACAAAATGCTTAGATGTAGGAGTCGAGGTAGATGTCACCTAGACATTAAGAACACCTTCGATACAATATCTCATTCTGTTCTTGTAAATAAACTGACAGGCTGTGATGCAGATGATTACATGGTCAGGTGGGTGGCAAATTGGCTTAGGGGGTCACACCCAGAGAATGGCGGTAGATGGGTTATTGACCTGGAAAGATGTGGGCAGTGGAGTCCTGCAAGGCTTGGTCCTTGGACTTGTGCTATTCAATGTCTTCATCAGTGACTTGGACAAGGGCATGGAGAGCACCCTGTCCAAGTTCACAGATGATACCAAATTATGGGGCAAAGTTAACACACCAGAGGGTAGGGAACAGATTCAGGCGGATCTGGACAGGTTGGAAAAAGGGGCAGAATGAAACAGGATGCAGTTCAGCAAAGACAAGTGCAAAGTGCTGCACCTGGGCAAAAAGAACCACCAACACTTACAGGCTGGGGGATGACCTTCTCAGCAGCACAGCAGTGGAAAGGGGATCTTGGAGTCATAACTGACTCCAAGATGAAAATGGGTTGTCAATGTTGCAAAGTGATCAACAAGGCTAACCGTACTTTATCATGCATTAGCAGACGCATGACAAACAGGTTCAGGGAGGTGATGCTTCCCATCTATGCAGCTCTGGTCAGGCAGCAGTTGGAGTACTGCATCCAGTTTTGGGCGCCTCACTTCAAGAGGGATGCGGAGAATCTTGAGAGGGTTCAGAGGAAGCCACTCGTATGGTCAGAGGCCTTCAGGCAAGGCTCTACGAGGAGAGACTGAGGGACCTAGATCTCTTCAGCCTTCGTAAGAGAAGGCCAAGAGGTGATCTTGCAGCTGCCTATAAATTCATCAGGTGAGGGCAGCAGGGAATAGGAGATGCTCTATTTACTAGGGCACCCCCTGGAGTAACCAGGAACAATGGCCACAAATTGACAGAGAGCAGATTTAGGTTGGACATGAGACAGAACTTCTTTATGGTAAGGGTTGCCAGAATCTGGAATGGGCTTCCAAGGGAGATGGTGCTCTCCCCTACCTTGGGGGTCTTCACAAGGAAACTGGACAAGCACCTAGCTGGGATCATCTGACCCCAGTACTCTTTCCTGCCCAGGGCAGCGGGTCAGATTTGATGACCTACTGAGGTCCCTTCCAACCCTAACATCTATGAATCTATAAATCAGAATCTCATTTTTCATACCAGATCCTCCGCCATGGACTGAGCCCCGATGTCAATGGAGAGGCTGCTGAGTTGAGGGGGGTTCTGAAACTCACG